AACAGCAAACTGCCCACGACTTGCTTTCAATAAGAAACCGCCACGACTCTGACCTCCCGTTCTCCCCCAATGAACTTCTGTTCAAAACAACCCTCGCCAGCTTCCTCCCAGAACCTGATAAAACCAACCTCTCCTTTGTCTCTTTGTACTTGCTTATGGTCTGCCAGACTTTGTTTGTCCCAGACAGCAATTCCTCTGCTAATCCTAAATAAATTCATCTTGGCTTGATCATAATTGCCATTCATTTTGTTTAAGGACAACACAAAGATGCAGCACCCTACACTGAACCCAGGTGGTGAGAAATCAACTGCTCGCCCACCCTTCTCAGCCCCGAATGTACCTGGAGCAGCACCCCGCGCCGAGACCTGGGCACAGAGGAGACTTGCTTGCCCAGGAAGGCAGGTCCCGCAAAGAAAGCCAAGGCATTGCATGTGGTCTGCACCGTGAGTGTTGTGGGCATGAAACCTCAAGCCTTAGAAGCCTCTTCCTCTGGTCTCCTCCCTGCAGAGGAAGCCCCCTGTGTCCACAACACGCCTCTTACCCACCCCTGCCCTGTGCGTTCTAGAGCTGAGGGCTCCATGCTGCCCAGCTGCCCACCCCCCACCTTGGAACCCGCCCCGAGAGGACAAGAACGTCTTCTCTCTCCATCCCTCCCTGTGCAGACACCGTGATGGCCTCCCGTGAATCCACTGCCTCTTACCAGTGAGTGGCTCCCGGGCACCTGAGAAGGCCCTTCATTTGGGGCAAAGACAGAAGGTTAGGGTTTGCAGCCTGCAGCAAATATTTGCTGTTCCAAAGGATGATCCCTCGTGGGAATGTTACTGATTAACAACCTGCTCAGAGATGGTGGTGTTTCTGGAAAAGGTGGAGAGACAGGCTTCCCATAATTCCCAGCTGCTCCTGCAATCCTGACTATGACAGCAGTTCCTCTCAACTGCAGGGAGAACCCCAGTGAGGCCCAGCCTCTTATGGGATGCCACTGCTGCAGACGCTGGACACCGCGTGTGAAGGAAGGGGTGGGTCCCACGGGGGCCTCCCGAGTCCCCAGCACAGGCCGGGCACCGTGTCGGGGGGGGGGCAGAGACGATGAAGACCTGCACCCCCACCCTCCAAGGAACCTTCAGTCCAATAGGAGAGACAAACTGCTAAATCACCCCCAGCAGTACAGAGCCTGTTTCAAGGTCAACTTACTGCTTCAGGAGGTTGATGGGCTCATGGGACTGGAATCCTCAGATATCCCAAATCAAGGCTGATGTAGACCCTTTAAGACAAAAATTCTCAGACCTATTAGACTCTCTTTTTAATAATAGAAATATTTTATGTGCCCCCTACTACTCTGAAGTGAAGTTTGTGGCTCATAGAACCTACCCACAAAATTTTAAAAAACCCACAATAATGCTTTAACTATAATATGGAGGGGAAATAAATTATAAGAAAACAATGTTTCTTTTAGTCTGTAAATGCCCTGGCATAACTACACTAGAAGACACAGCGATGCTGTCAGACGTGGGCCCAGTTAGAGAACTGTGTATGCTGTACACCAGCTGTGCTGACCATTCAACACCACAGCCAGAGCTACCACCAGCGACCTGGCTTTCTGCAATGGTGAATCATGCTCAGTAAAGTTCCAAAAAAACAAAATATAAATCTTCCTCTGATTTGTCTTCACAGAAAATTAAACCCTTGGGGAAAAAAAACAGTGTTTTTATATGAAATGAAACTCCCATGGGTCTGTGAGAGTCTAGGCTGAGATCATTTATGAATGGCGTCTTCACCAGTATAGACTTGCAGTGGGACACTGGAGTCACGTGGGACCTGGGTCAGCTCCTTGTGGTGAACAGGTCTGCGTGTTCCAGGATGTCTGGCCCTCACTCACTAAATGCCAATAGTGCTCCCCCGCAAATCCTTGTGGAAATCAGAAGTGCCCCAACAAGTTTCCAGAGTATTCCCTTGGGGCAGTGCCTGCTATGTTGAGAATGGCGGTCTGAAGCCTTCAAAGTGAGGGGTGCAGATGGGTGAGGCTGGGCCTGGGTTCTCGACTCAGCAGGGGGCCAGCCTCGCCTTCCCATCCCTGGTGTCCTGCCGCTGAGGGGCCGCTGGCAGCTGGCAGCCCGGAGGCAGGGG